AATTTTGCCAAATGCATGTTTTAGCATTAAAAAGGGATTTCATAATGTTTAATTTTCTTTAGAGGTTTTTAAAGGATCAATATATATATATATATATATATATGAGTATGGAAATGAATAAAAGTAGTTTTATGTGTGTGATAGTAGCATGACACTAATAGTGGGTGGGAGTTCACCCTACATGTGTTTATGGTAGAGATATGTGAGCAAAAAAATCTATATGATCGGGCTGGCACTATAGGACATCTGGTGTAGCATTATATTTAGGACTGTTACCATGGGATATCCGAGCAGTTTAGCAACTCCTTAACTCCCGTGAGGGTGCAGTTAAGGGTCAACAACACCTCTAATCATGTGTAACTGAAAGGGAAAAAGTATAGGCTGAAAGTAAGGTAGAATACCTTTAGTTGGATGTTTCTACCACTAAAAGTAAGCTCAGATCAATATATAATCAGTCTAATATAGTCAATTATTTTAGTAAAGGAGTTTGGAGGATCAAGGGATAGAGAATTATGCTAGAGCGAGGATTTATAAAGTGTGGCTATAAGTATATATTTCCTTATGTAAAATAAGTATTTAATAATTATATAAAGATTCTAATTACTTGTCTATGGTTAATCTGGTTAGTAAACAATTAACTATTTTATTTACTGAAATTATTATCTCACTCATGGTTATTCATATTTTACAGGTCCTGACATTGAAAGTTCAAAAGAAAAAGACTCTGGTTGAGATTAGAGAATCTCTTTTTGCCCAATTGGGGTTAGTGTAATGGAATTGTTACTATAAATGATAATTTCACATATAAGTTGCCTTAGGACTATATACATGTTTGCATATCCGTGAGGATGCACTTGTGTGTGCTTCTTTTTGTTGCCTAGACCCGTAATGCGTATATATGTGTTGTGATGAATTTTGTAAATGAGGGCTAGGGTACCAATACAAATGCATATTTGTAATTTATAATGTGATAAAGGTGTATGAAGTTTGGCCAAGAATTGTCATTGTGTGTGAAGTGTGGGAATTTGCCCAAGTATATGGAATGTGTAGTTAACTGGCCAAACTTGTATATATACTTGATATGGTGTATATATCTATTTAATCAAGTGTTAAAAGTCCTATGGATGTGGTCAAGGTTCTAGAAATGACTGATAACACTTGGTTTAGAATTGAGGAGCTCGGACGAGCTAAAATGACTATAATATATCATTTTCCATTTAAGTGTCGAATTTTCAAGAAACAAATATCATCTCTGAACAAAACTAGTGTCACTATCTATATTTTGTGATAATCTTTATGTGGGCTCAAGAATCACCCCAATTAGATGTTGGATGCGAAAATGACACATATTTGAAATTCATATCAGAACTGCTATTTTGACAATAAAATCTGATACGTGCGTTGCAATGTATGGTGCACATGTTGTGGTGCACGGTACAGAATGAGAACATGTAGCTCTATGTCATATGCTGCATCACATGTGTCAATTCTATATAAAATTACTGTTTTGTCTCCATTTCTTGTTGCTTTGGGTATATGACTATATTGCTCTTGCTATGTATGAGTGTGCATTTTAGCATATTTGAAATGGTTTTCAAATGATTTAAGTTGGGATCCCAACCTTTTAAAATGCTTGGTATTAAATTGAAGTGTGTAAGAGTGGTATTTTGTGGTGCCTAAAAAGAGCACTACAATAAGACCCACAAAAAAAAATTTTAATTACAAAATAAATTAGTGACAGAAATTTATTAATTAGTGACAAATATTTTCTGTCACTTAAGTGATGGATTCATTTTGGTCACTAAATTAGTGACGTCATATTTTTGATAGAAATTAGTGACGGACAATCCATCACTAAATCTAAAATTAGTGATCAATTTTACTTATTAGTGATGGGTTTGTTTGTTACTAATTCATCTTTTTTAGTAGTGATAATCAAATGTTTTACTTAAACTAAATTATATTATATTAAACCTTTTATAAGGATTAAATTTAATATAGAGAAAGGGCAATATGCTTTCCATTTTTAAATTGTCATGTTGCCCACTTTTTTTATGAGAGAAAACTTCAGTTTTATTCCTTTATAGTCAACTTTTTACCTAATCTAAGGTTGCATTTGGATGGATAGATTTAAGTTAGGAATTTGAATTTAAAATCTCATATTTAAAATTCATAGATTCTAAATTCTTTCTTTGGATGATATAAAAAATTTTAAATTATAATATTAAAATTCTTTGTTTGCATCTAAAGTAAAATTTTAAATTTTAAATTCTATATTTGAATTTAAAAGAAACTTGGACGATTGGTCAAAATTGACGGTCCGAATGGGCAACTTCTAATGGGATTAGATAGTTAAAGCTGATTGTGATAGTAGCACTAGTGATGACCAAGACAGAATGGCCGACTACCACTAGGATTGGATCAACACAATGATGGGGACCGAACGACTGAATTTCGCTGGGACAAAAACGACGGTGGCAACTAGGATTGAATGGCTGCCTTCCACTAAGATTGGATCGACGATGATGGGGACTGGATAGTTGTCTTCTAACTAAATTGGACTAATGGTGATGATGGCGGTTGGATAAACACCCTCTACTGGGATTGGCCCAACAATGATGATGAGGACACTATAGCTGACTCCTATTAAGATCAAATCAATGGTCGCGATTAGGTCCGGCTATAGTAGGGGTCATAATCTGACTCGTTGTAAGACTAGGAAATTCTAAAGGTGTTCATCATAGAACTTGCTCTGCTAGGTAAGACCTAGGAGAATATCCATGAGTATACCCTAGGCTAGGGTAAGGGGTGATGGCTCTACTCTGTTTAAGGCTAGAAAGTCTTGATAGTCTAAGTGTTGAGTGTACTTCGCTAGAGGGAACTCAGGAGACCACCCATATTGATGATACTTGGTCTGAGACAATAGTTTAGTGGGTTGTGTTTCATTTAAGGCTGGAAGTCTTGGTCCAAGCATTGAGCTTACTTTGCTAGGAGAATTGGGTGTGCATGAGCATAGTAGTAAATGAGAATGATATTTTTAAATTCCTATTTATATTGTTTTATTGAAAATGATGCTACTTTAGCTCTTTTTTATGATTTTACTTACTAACCAATATTTGGGGTTTATCCAAGTTATTGAGACGCATATTTCACTTTGTTACCTTTGGTGCACAAGTGAAGAGAGCTATAAAAGGCTAAGAAAGGAAGCTAGGAAAGAGTAGCCTTGCTTCTAGTAATGGTATAACATTACCCTATAATGTAATGAATGTATATGATTGTAGTTAAGGATTTAGTTGCCAACTAGGATGCATATATGTGGATGTGTATACATAACTATGATGTTTAAAAGCTTGTTTGTATATCTTGTATTGTATCTCATTGAGTGTATCACATAGTAGTGAATACATGAGTAGGCCTAGATGCTATTCAAGCAATTATATGATATGTTGTGTAACTTGTTCCATTAGTAATGAATGTGAATGTATCATGTGAAAATGTGTATATATGTGAAACTTGACTAAATGGCGAGGCTTAGCCCATTTGTGTGTAAGTCAAGTGAATTGTGATTGCCAACCATATGGTGAGACTTAGCCCCATATGGGAAAGTAAGGTGTTGAAAAATGGAACAAGTGAGTTTGTGCTTGTGTGGTTATGTGTGTGCCTCATATAAGACTACAATGTGTAATGTGATATTGAGAGGTTAAATTGTGAATATGATGTGATATAATGTCTCAATTAGGTTTATGTGATCCTTTTTGATTTGGTTCAAGGCCCACAATGATTTAATGGGACAAGAGATGATAATTGAATACTGAGAGTGCTAAATTTTGAAAGAAAAATAGTTTTTTACACTTGAGTATTCAATTTAAGATCGAACTATTAGATCATGTCCAAACTTATCTCATTACATAGATTGTGTTATAAGCTTCGTGTGGGCAATTGAATCACTTTAATTGGATGTCGAGTGTGAAAATGGGGAGCAGCAAAAATTTGTATTAGATTTCTACCATGGTAGCAGAATCTAATATATGCGCCACGATGCATGATGTGTTAGTTGTGGTGCATGACACAAAATTAGAGCACATTGCTCTGTGCCATATATTACGGTGCATGGCTTGTTTTTGGGAAAATTATTTGGTTGTTTCTTTCAAAATTTCATCAGCCCTTCTTATTTAGCATATTTTTTATGAAGTTGGGATCCCGTATTTTAAAAACAAATTAATTGAGGGCTATATCTCTAATACTGTATTGTAATGTGTGTATGAATTGATAAAGTCTAGATGAAATGGGAGACTTTACACCATGCGCTATGGTGGATGTAGCACGTGTCACAGTGAGAAAAATCCTAATTGTGTTCACATGTTTCACTCCGAGATGCGATCCTTCCATTCGAATCTGTTCATTCAACACCCCAAAGAGTCAAAATATCAAATTATTATCCAAAATCTAATGACTCACTAATTCACTAATTTACACCTAATTAATAATTAATTTTAGAATTAATAATTTAGGATGTTATAAAAATTGTATCTCTAGTTACTGGCTTTACAGCAAGCTCTTCTATCTTTAGATTCTCAAACTTCTTCACAAGATATTTATTTAGTTCTTTTAGGAATCTGTTTGCTAAAGTTTTCTTACAAACATTTTATTCAAGGTGTACTTTGACAGGCATTTGCAGACTTTGCAACATGATCTTGGTGTCTTTCTTTCTCATTTAATTGTTGTATTTATTTTTTTAATAACAGTTGATTGTTTTAACGGAAGAAAAAAGTCAACGCGAAATTGCTCTTAAAAAAATTGGAGTTTCAATGTTGACTTCTGTAATGGATCACACTTAGAAGATTGATGTTGATATGTTTTATCATCTTTCTTACATACATGCATACAATAGATGACGTCTACGCCACTTAAAGATTTTTTGTTTTTTGGACGGGCGATCGATATAATTAGAACATTGATAAACGGATGTAATAGAATCCAAATAAAGCAGACGCCTCATCTAATGAGCAACCCAAATTTTATTTTACTGCAAAGAAGCACCTCCCTTACCATACAAGCAACATTTGCTATTTTTTTTTTATAAAAACCACCAATAATGAGAAAACACAAAATGAAACACAGTATGACTTTGTTTGGATTAAGAAGAAAATAAGAAGGAAAAATTAAAAAGGAAAAACTTTATTTTATGAATGAAAAATGTCGTCTTCTTTTTTTCCCTACATTTCTTTCCTTATTTTTTTTTTAGATGATGGTAATATTGTGTTCACAACACAGTACAGAGCTCTAGTTTAGAAGACCAAATTTGTCTATGAACGAGGCCACCAACTTATCATGAGGAGGCAGTGTCTCCTTCATTAAAGGATGCTCCTTCAAGGAATCCACCCATGACAAGAACTCTGAGTTCGTGTGGGGATGAATTGCTTCAACTTTCAGGGCCTCTTGAACAGCCTTGTAGTTACAAGCTTGTGTTCCCACCACAATATCCAATAGTCCCAAGCACTTGCCCTTACTATAAGTGAATTCTTCTTTACCAAAATCTTTCTTCAACCCTTCAATAAAAACTCCAATAATTTCATTCATCTTTTCAATTTCTTTCTCCCTCTCTTCTCCTTTTGATCTGAAAACGGGATATATAGCTGTAGCAATCTAACGAAAAAAATTCAAGTTTTATTAGAATATTTGACTTACCAAGCTTTCCGTTTATTAATTCATCAAATTAAAAAAACTAAAGAAGTCAAGTAGATAGGCGAGCTTTGGCGTCCTAATTTTTTTAAAAAAAATATAAACTTTTCAAAATATTATTCATTTAATTAGAGAGAGATATTTAACGAGTGAAATAACAAGGGGTAATGATACAATAACTTTTATTAATGAATTAGTATTCTTTTTGTAAAACATCTTGTATTCCAAACAATTAACATCTTATACAAATAGGATGGAGACAGTAGATTGTAGAGAAAAGGTAAAGGAAGTGGCACTCACTTTTTGATCAAAGTAGTTGACCCAGAAGCGAACCTTGGCCCTTTGATAAGGATCATGAGGCAAGAGTTTGGGAGTGTGATTCCAAGTCTCATCGATATATTCTAAGATGACAAGAGACTCGGCTATTGGCTTGCCACTATGTAAGAGTACGGGAACTTTTTGATGCACGGGATTGTTCTTCAACAGCAACTCACTTTTGTTTGTTAAATCTTGCTCCACGTATTTGTAAGGTATGCCCTTAAGTTTAAGAGCTAGTGCAACCCTTGAGCACTGGCCACTTGTCCACTTTCCCAAAAGCACAACTTGGCTAGCTTTCTGTTCCATTAGGTGTTTCTGTTTTCTGTATGGTTCATCAGATTGTAGCTATTTGAGAGGGTTTTATAGAAGTTCTTCTCAACTTGGTCAATGTGTATTTCTTGAGGAAGAAGTTGTGGAATATATACTTTCTCAGACATATGGTTCATTATTTATAGTAACAAACTAGGACTAAGTGCAATGATGATGCATGCAACCAAACAAGAAAAGGAAAAGAAATTTAAGAAAACAAGACCGGGTCATAATATTATAGGACGACAAGATAATGGTTGGATTTAATAGATTGTCTTCAGCATTTAAAATTACAACAATATTAAAATATTAATTAGTCCGTGTACAGACTTTTTGGGTTCCTATATTTTTTTTTCCATCAAGTTGTGAAATTAATTAATCCCTACATTTAAACTTTATTTTTATAAGACTCTTTGAAATTTTAACTATTAGACTAGTGTTTTAAAGCCCGGACCATATGACCAATTGGACCACAACTTGGATAAAAAATCAGTTCGGTTTGACTCGTTAACTCATTTTGGAGGTCAGACCATTCTGAATTTAGTGGTTTTAACATAACTAGAGTTACCTTGAAAACCAAAATATTTGGACTATTTTGAACCATTTTTTTCTTTTTACTCTTATTTTAATAATAACTTTTTTATTCAATTTTAAAATATTTCTGTCAATTGTTTTTGGTTTTTTTTTAGTAAATTTTTAAGTGCATGATTTGGTCTATTGGTTCTATATGATTTGTAATTTTATTATGAAACATCACTGACAAAGTTATAACATTTTAAGATAACAATATAAAGGTTGAATTCAGTGAACATTTCATCATTCAAAATTTCAATATTAAAATACAGAATTGTCTCCATTCTAGAAATGCTTCTGCAATTTTTTATAATATCAATTTTGAATTGAAAATCTTACAATATAAACAGATTCTTAAATTCACTGCAAAATCTAATAACTCAATTGAAATTAAGTTTTACTCTTTAATTACTAAAATACCCTTTAATTATTAAGAAAATTCATCATTGTCACCAACCACTACCTATGCCCAAGTCATTGTCGGCTACTTCCAGAGCTCCGCCGCGGACGAGGTCAAAAATTCACCGAGGTGGCCTCGGGGTCTTGATTGGTTCCTTCAAATAGTTCTTGCTATTCAGTATTGACCTACCAATGACTCTTAATTAAGTAGTGCAAAATATTATATTTATTGCAAACTTGTCAGCATGTAGGAACATGTAAAAGTAGACTTGTTAACGCTTTAACTCTAATTATCACTTTCGTAACTTGTTAATATGCAAATTCAGTTGCAAAATGAAAGGTTTGAAAATATATCAAGGAAGCTTTTATAGTATTAATTAAGTAGCCAGATTTGTTACAATCTTAAATGAACTTGTCATTTCAATATATTTTACTTGCCAATTTGCAATGGTCACTTAATCGGTCCTTAAATAAGGGTTAAAGAGTATTTTTACCTCTCTCAATTGTTCGTTCAGGAGTGTTTGGTATCTCAAATTTACACGAGGTGCAATTTTTCTCTTCTACTTTTGAAAATTGTGTACTAAATACCTTACGGTAAAAAAAGTTAACTTTAATTTGATTGTTAGTTGACTTAAAAATTACAGAAAATAATATTAAAAATTATAAAAGAGAACCCAAAAATTACATATCAATTCCTAATATGAAAACTAATACCAATTAAATATCCTAAATTGAATATAAATACATAATATAAATTTTATTTCTAATTACCCATGTAAAATATCAAAATACAATTTCATCCAACTAATTTAATTAACTAGTTACTAAGTAATTAATGGATCACAACTTCTAGCAAAAACACTAATAAATATTACATTTGTATTACTAATATCATATTAAAATATTAACAATTTAATATATAATAATTTAAAAATTATTATTATTTACAAATCTCCACACACAATGTACAACTTAACTTTTAAAATTTACACATTCTATAAAAATTTATAACATAAACTACTGTATCTGTTATTTATAAATGGACGCTTTTTTTTTACACTTGTTATAAATTTTTTAAGAAGGACTTATAAATTTTGGAGAAAGACTTATAAATTATCACACTATTTTAAGAATTTTAATTAATATTAATTTTTTTAGAGGGTATTTATTTGCAATTTTATACTACATGTAAGTTTAGAATATTAGATATTTCTAAATGAATAGCCGAAGAGAAAATACCCTTTAACTCCTTAAGTAATTAGAACAAGACGAAAATCTAGTTGAGCGGAGAAATTTTTTCTATATACTTTGCCACCAACCCCTTACCCAAATGCTGCATGACCTTGTAGTTGAGGGAGTGCTCCTATCACAATGTCCAATACAGTCCCATGGACATATCTTGACAATAGGAGAATTCCTTAGCAAAATTGTCATCCGACCCTCCAATAAAAAATCTAGTAACCTCATTCAAGTATTCACTTTCTTTCTCTCTCTCTTCCGCTCATGATATTATTATGAGGTAGGTAGTTGGAACAATCTAACAACAAAATTCCTTCATATTAGAAAAAAGGTTGTAACTTAGGGTAAGGAAGTTATACTTACTATTTATTACAAAAAATTGATCTAAAAGCAAAAATCTTAATTAGCCTGTTGATAAGAATAATGAGGTATGAGTTCGAAATAACCTCTTGTTTGATTGGAAGGGGAGGAGAAATTTTAGTGAATTTGATTGTAAAAAATAGATAAGTAGGCTCATAAAATTTTAGTAAAGAGAATATAGGTAAGACAAAGGAGTAAAGAAAATTAATTTAAAGCTTATTTTAATCTTCAAAAACATATATTTTTTAAAAAACAACGTTGAATATAAAAACAACGTTCTAAAATCACTTTTTAATTTGTTTTCCACTAATCCATCTAATAAATGTCACAATCTTAAATTTTCAAAAGGTTGAATGTGTTTTGTTTTGGAGTAAAAATTTCAAAAAATTCCTAATCATTTTGAAATATTGAAAGGCAATAAAACACCGTATTTATTTTTATACATACTTATATAGAAATGTACTTAAGATTTAGAAGTAAAAACTCACTTCATCTAGAAACATCCTTTATAACTTGGTATGTGTTTCAAAATTCACTATATTATATTTGAAAAAGATGTAATAAAGGTAAATAACAAATTACAATCTCAATGATGATATTAGGACAAAATTATTCCTTAAAGCAAAAATATTTCTCAGCATATCAATTTGAAAAATAACCTAACTCCGTGAGTCCTCTGAAAATACTAGTTCACAACTATTTTGAGAATATGTTCATAATAAAATATAGGAAGAATCTCACTTACGGCCTTCAAAATACAAAAATTTGCATTGTTAGCCCAATAAAATTTGAAAACGCACTGTAAACGTGATGACTCTTTTTGCAAATTTTGTTGTAGATAGAAAGATGCATTTGCCCTTGTCTCAATAGAATGTTATGTATACACAATATGATGTTCATAAATTTTTAATATATTCATAAATATACAATACATATAGTGACATAGTTTAACTTGAAGTAAAATGTACAAGTAAGCAAATGATGAACAACACAATGTTCACGAATGCACAATACATGAACATTGTGTTGAGAATTTGTAGACATCATATTGTGCATATATGGACAAGCCCTTGAGACAAAGGCAATTGTGTCTTTTCATCCACAAACAAAATTTGCAAGAAAGGCCCCTTGCAGTGCATTTTCATACTCTATTAAACCTATAGTGCAATTTTTTTGTGTTTTTGAAACTCTAAGTGCGATTCTCGATCCCTAGAATATATTTCAATTTTCAACATCCCCAATTAAACACTTTAACATATGTGTGTGCGTGCGTGCGTGCTAGAGAAATGATATGTTTATTGAACAATTTATCTGATTAAAATTCAATTCATAAAAACTTTGAATTAAAGAATAATGGGTTAATGAGTATTATATACTCTAAACTATTGCATGAAAGGGATCCTTGATCCTGAAATCCTAATATATGCAAAAATTCCTTTCAACTTTCAAATTCTGAGCACCTAAAACTTTGCTGTTAAGTTGAAGAATATGGTTGTTATTTTTAAGGGTCAAGATGAATGCCACATCAACATACGATTGGGCCTTACAATTATAAAAGTAGCGACCGTTTTTTTCAACTTAACCATAAAGTTTCAGGAACTTGAAATTTAGAAGTTAAAGGGAGTTTTTGCACATTTCAGGAGTTCAAGATCTACAATGTTATTTGCACAATAATTTAGGATCTATGGTATCCATTAACTCAAGAAAAATTTGTTATAGGTAAAAAAATCATATAGCCATATACTTGTAAATCTAGATGAAAAATATGATATTATTTATTATTTTATGATTGATATACTTTTAAATCTTGATGAAAAATATGACATTATTATTATTATTATTATTATTATATAATTATTTTTCTCTCAACACTCCTTATCTACTCTTTACATTCTACAACCTACTTACTTGGCTTATTGTTATCTTTATACATGTAGATTTCTTTTATGATAATATTCCATTGTCTCCTATAACCTTTACTCAACCTAAGGCTATGCAACAAGCTCGAAAGCCTGACATGCCATGCCCGGCCTAGCCTGATGATTTTTTGCTCATCCCATGCCTAGGAAAAACTACTTAAAAGCAAATGGGCATGGTTGGGCTGTGCTCAAACCTTGGGTTGGGCAAGGTCTAGGGTCGAGCTATCCAACCAATCAGCCTTGCTTGACCTAAGGGAATATATATATATATATATATATTATGTATAAATTAAAATGATGTAGTTTTGAGGAAGCATGGGATCATAGTGGTAATTTTCTTTGTTTGTTAGCAATGAAACCCTACAAACCTTCCTCCGTTTTCACTTACAATCACAGTCAATGACTTGTCTCCTCTTCTCTCCTCTCCTCAATTGCCATCTCCTTTCCTCAGCTACACCACCCCCTTGTTTCGCTTCATTGGTCGTTGGCACTCGAAAGCGTCATTCCTCATTCTGTCAACTTTGTTTGTCATTCCTCCCTCCGTTGCCTTCATCCATTGTGAGTGAGACTATAAGAGCTTTGCT